AGCCCCTGGGCAGGGACACTTCTGCTCCTTGGGCCCCTGCCCCTGTGGTGCTCCCTGCAGGTTGTGAGCAGGTGTGTGTGTGTGTGGGGGGGGGGCGCGGCAGGCCACAGGAGTCATTATCTTTATCTGCAGTGTGGAGCGCAGCCAGCCTTGGGCCCCTGAGGTACAGGGAGGAAGTCACCCCATCACCATCTCCCTGATAGGAATGAGGGGTCAGAAGGCAGCCAAAGCTGGGCAGGAATACACCCCTGGGTGCCACCACCCACTCACTCTTGTGTGCTGGGTGAGGAAACTGAGGCTCAGGGAGGTGTGGCTGTGGCCAGCAGGCCACGGGATACATCTCACGCCCACATGGTGGTGACACCGGAATCTGGGCTTTGTCACCTGTGGCTGCAGATATTCCTTCAAAGGTTCATTCTTGTTGGAGGAAATATCCGTATACTCTGAGGTGAATTTTTTTTTTAGGTCAAACCCAGCGATGCACAGGGGTTACTCCTGATTCATGCACTCAGGAATTACCCATGGCAGTGCTTGGGGGACCATATGGGATGCTGGGAATCGAACCTGGGTTGGCTGTGTGCAAGGCAAATGCCCTACCCGCTGTGCTATGGCTCCAGCCCCTGTATTCCCTGAGGTGAGACCCAGAGTGGCCAGCCACCAACATGACATTTCTTTAAAATCTGTCTTTGCGTGGGGGATGGGGGTGGGAGGAAGCACACACAGCTTGTGTTTGTGTTCTCTAACACAGCCACGTTTGTGCAAAAAGAAAGGCTGTCCCCTCTGTCTGTCCCTGAATGCACCAGACATCCTGGGCTCCAGAAGCCCTTGGGGCCACTCCCAGGGAGGTCCTGGGCCTGGAGCCCTCACTCTGGCCTGCCTGTCCCTGGCTGTCAGCCTGACTGCCCCTCACTCAAATCCCGGGCTTGCCTGGCGACCTGGGCATCTGGGGCCCCACCCTGGGGCCCGTGTCCCCTCCTGGGTGGCTGGTAGGGCTTGAGCAAAAGGCCTCAGCTGGGCTCCAGTCCCTCCGTCTCCTGCAGTAATGACTTCCTATAAATCAGATCTGCCCTCGCTTTGTTCTGTACCGCTCCCAGCCGGCAGCCACACTCCCCACCCGACACCATAAATCCACCTTCATTTTCTTTCCAAATTTCTTTTAAGGCTTCTTTAATCACCATCTTGTAGCCTGGACAGATGCTCCCTCGAAGGGTGAGGCCAAAGCGCAGAGTTCCTGGGCAGGGGGAGGGTCAGGGCCCAGAGGTGAGGCGGGGGGCGGGGGGGCAGGGACCCTATGAGGATGGGGTCAAAGATGTCCCAAGACCAAACCCAGGGTGACAGGGACACAGGGAGGGAGGTTCTGGGGTGGGGACGGGGATGCTAGCCGGGCACTCTCTCCTGTGCCCAGGTGATGCCCAACAGAGGCCTGCATCATGGTCAGAGCCTCTGGGTGTGGCTCCTCATCCCCGGGGTGCTGCCTGCGGCCGGCAGACCTGTCCTTCCTTCCTGCTCCCAGCAAGCCTCTCCTGTTGGGAAGGGGGTTAGGGCTTACTCTTGGGTCTGTGCTCAGGGATCACCCCTGGCAGGGCTCGGGGGATTCTCGGTGATGCCAGGGATAGAACTTGGGCTGGTTGCGTGCATAGCAAGTGCCCTAACCCCTCTTATAGTGAGAAAACCGGGGCCCAGAGAGTGTAGCAAGCGCCCGACCCTACCTGCAGAGCAGGTCCTAGAAACAGGAGATGGGCACAGAGCACATCTTTGAGCCTGTGCTCAGCACCTGCAGGATGGCCAGTTCAAGGTGCCACCCAGGCAGGGGACCGCCTGCACCCCCTCTGTCCTGGGCACTGCCCTCTGCAGCATATTCTCCGGACTCCAAGGCAGGGCAGCCCCTCGCCCCTCGAAGAACCCCAGAGGGTGGGGGGCTCTCACAGTATCCCCTCCTGGGGCCAGCTCTCAGGCACAGTGCTCAGCACTCAGGCTCCGCGGCCGAGGCCACCCTCCAGGGGCCCTGGAGTCCCCGGAGAGTGGGTACATTGGCCGCTAGATGGCACTGTGACCCAGCCAAGCGGCGGCCGCGGGCGCAGTGCCGCGGCCTCCCCTCCCCCACCCCGCCGCGCTGGTGTGGGCAGCACGCAGTGGCCGGGCCTCCTCCCGCTGCTGTGCACCCCAGGCCAGGCAGCTGCCTCAGCCACAGCACACGGGGGCACGGCGGGGTCCTGAGAGCCAATCGGTGGGGAGCCCTGGACAGGCCGGCGAGGCTGGCCGGCGGGAGTCTCCACGTACCCCACCCCAACCCCTCAGGCCCTGGGAAAGTGCCTTCTCCCCACACCTCCCCCGTTTGCACTTTTCTAAAATCTGTGCGGCAGAGGGGTGCTGTGTGCCTTGTTTTCCCTCCTAGCCTACCCCTGCCTGCTGTCCACCCCACCTTCCTGGGCCCCAAGAGTTCAACCTGGAGCCGAACGCTGGCCCTACGCCCGCGCCTCCGCCAGCAGGCTGGCCGGGGGGCGGCTCCGACACTTGGGGTCCATTCCCGGGACTCCCGGGGCACTCTGGGCCAGCATGCCCGCCAGATGTCCGCATGTTGTTAAGGGAGCGACAGTGGGCCAGGAGGGCTGAGCTGGGGGGCTTGGTGAGCAGGGGAGGGGGACTGGGGAAGGCGGGCAGACAGATCACTTGGTGGGCCAAATAGGTTCGTGCCAGCCAAATGGCTCTTGGAAGTCTGCTCTAACGTGTCCTGTGGGCATGCCAGCTGCCCCAGCCCGCCTGTGCCCTGCACGGACAGACGTTGTGGCCCTTCCTTGAGCTGCCCCGGCTCCCCGCGCATGGGCACAGTTGGCTGGAGCACCCGACCCCGTCAGGCCTCTTCAGTCACCTCCTCCCAGTCTCTGTTCCCTTCCTCGGTGCCCGCCCCTCTGCCAGATCAGCCAGCCCACTCAATGCCCACCCACCACTCCCACCCCTGCCCCTGGGCACCTATCGCAGCCATAGCCCATGTGTCCTTCGATTCCCAGATCCTGTGCTGCATCCCCCAGCCCACCTGCCTTTGCCAGCCCTGGGTGCAGAATGGAGACAGACTCAGGAAAATGGGCAGATGGTGTCTAGTCTGAAGCCCTTGCAGGTTGATCTCAGGTAGAGACAGCTTGTGAGGGGCACACTGGAACTCTGATGGGTTCACACTGTGCAGACTGTTTGACTAATCACTTGTCCTGACAGATGTTGCCAGACAGGACAATGTTCATCCCCTGAGGTGTAAAAGTGGCCAGAGAGAGGCATCGTAAACTTGGGGGGAAGGGAGCATTCCCTTGATGACCCCTTCGAGGAGGGATTTGGAGATGATTGGTGCCACCATCTGAGTGAGGCAGCTGGATGTTTTTCAGGGAGCCCCACTGGCCCCATGGTTGGGCTGAAGAGATCGGGTAGGTTGGCTAATGAGAGAAACTTTTTAAAATTTGTTTGATTTTCTTGGGCCACACGTGGTGATGCTCAAGAGTTACTCCTTTTGGGGTTGGAGCTATAGCACAGAGGGTAGGGCGTTTGCCTTGTATGCGGCCAACCCAGGTTCAATATCTGGCATCCCATATGGTCCCCTAAGCACCGCCAGGAGGAATTCCTGAGTGCAGATCCAGGAGTAACCCCTGAGCATTGCCAGGTGTGACTAAAAAAGGAAAAAAAAAAGAGTTACTCCTTTTAACATACTTGCTTGTATTCGCTTATATACGGGTTTAAATAGTTCCGGAATGAAATACAACCTTTACAACCTTCACACACTTCCCTCTTATTGTGGTGGGAAGGTGCTTGATGGTGGGATTGGTGTTTGAATATTATCTGTAATGAACTATTGTGAACTACTTTATGAAAAAGAAAATTTCTATCAGGAAAAAAAAAGTTACTCCTGGCTCTGCACTTGGGAATCACTCCTGGTGGTACTTGGGGAGTCACATGGGTTCTGGGGATCAGACCCAGGTCAGCCATGTGCAAGGCAATCACCCGACCTACTGTGCTATGGCTCCAGTTCTCATCATGGTATCTCCCCTGCCAGGTTAGTATGAGAGAAACAGTTTTGGCTTTTGTTTTGGTTCTGGTTTTGGTGTTTTAGGTTTGGGGGGCACATCTCACAGTGCTGCTGAGGGGGTCACAGTGCCAATGGTTCTCTTGCACACTAAGCCTGCACGCCAGCCCTTTGAGCTCTCTCTACCTCTGGTGATAGGACTCTTACACCCAAAGGTCAGGCTCAGAGGGAAGGGGAGGTTCAAGTTCACGTGAGACGTTGTGTCAGGTCTGGAGCCCTGGTTTCAGGCCCCTCACCCAGGAACTTGGCTGCTGGGCCATCAGCAGGCTGTTGGCAGCTGGTCACAGCCCCATCAGCGGCCAGGCTGCAGGGAGGAAAACAGCCTTCCCTAGAAAGATCTCGGATGAAATGACCCCTGACCAGGAAAGACGTGGGTGGCGGCCACGGGGGAGGCCAGAGAGTGTGACTTCAGAAAAAGGGCAGGAATGGTCTGGGAACAAGAGCACAAATTCTTTGAGCTCAGCTATCCGAGACGGGGGGGGGGGGGGGGTGAGGGGGCAGCCGCGGCTTAGGGATTTAGCACCCGATTCCTGGCTGCTTACATGTAAGTAAATAATTTCATCTGCTGTTTGGCAATAAAGAAGGCTTTAAATCTCGGCCTCGGTGGCCTGTCAGTCTAATCCTCCAGAACCCGCTCCCCGTCCTGTGGGTGGGCAGCTAGAGAAGGGGCAAGAAATGAGGCTCCAGGGAGAAGGGGGATGTGGGGGGTACCTTCACCCCACTTTCTGACAAGCCCCGAAGTGCAATGTCCTCCCGCCATGTGACCCCCCTCCCCCCCAACCAAAAGCCACATCTGCTGGTTTTCTGTCCCACAAGTCCTTGCGGAGACCAACTTAAGGAGCCTGCTGTGCTGTGGGGATGGAAGGGAGGGGCCGTCACATCCCTACCCCGGGAGGAGGCCCAGCCCCACAGGCGCGCCGTGTTCCCCTCATACCTGTGTACTTGCTGACCCCAGCCTCAGCAGCCACGTCACGGAGAGCCAGGATGCCCCGGGAGAGGTCACTGGCCTCGGGGTCCATCTCAATGAGGGCGTCAGGACCCACGTCACCGTAGGCGTAGTTGGCGATGTAGATGGAGTAGCGTCCGGAGCCCTGGGGGAGTGGGTGGGGGGTGGAGGCGGTGGGTGGGCAGGGTCCCAGGGAAGCTTCACCCCCAGAAAGCGGCTCTCCCATCCTCGGGTGGGACCTGGTCTGGCCTCTCTCTGGGTCTGGGTGCCTGACCTTTGTGGGGCTGTGCACAAGGGTCCAGCTCCGGAGGGGCTTTTCCCGGAAGCCCTGCTGTTCCGGAATGGCAGTGATCGTGGGGTCTCCAACAAAGCAACCTCACTTCCCCCTTCCATCCTTTGCCAGAAAACTCGCCTGTCCTTCTCCCCCCACAAGCACCTTTTTTTTTTTAATAGACAATTTTCTAATGTGCCTCCCTCCAGCTGAGCTCTCTCCAGCTGCCAGCCAGGGTAGCTGCTCAATAAATATTTGCTGATTGATTGATCTACCAATTCGCATTATTCTCCATCTCTCTCTCTCTCTCTCTCTCTTGCTCCTGTTCATGCTCACTCTGGCCAAGATGACAAGCAGATTCCTGAGCCACCTCCCTGCCTCACTCCCCCACTTCTCTACTCCTCTCCTTGGGTAGAACCAAGCCAGGCAGCATTCTCCTCCCCTCCTCCAGTGGCTGGTTTCCCCTTATGCCCAGATACAAGTCTCATTCTGCTTCTGCCTTTAGAACACTGTCTCCAACCCCCCGCCTCTCCCTCGCCCCCCACCGCTTGGCACCAGGAGAAGCCCTGGGCACTGGCTCCTCTTTGCCGGAGTCTTTCTCTTCCCCAGTCCCAGACACTGCCCATGGAAGGCTCCTTTCCGCCTGTTATTATAATGGCGTGATTTCTTCAATGGATGCCTCCTTTCTCCCCCGAGACAGACATAATTTCGAAGCCAGTTTTCGAGCTTTCCGCTCAGCCTTTCATCCCTTCCCTCTAATTAATCAGACAGTAAATGGTTTTTGAGCTCCAACTACGCGCAAGGTGCCCGGCTACAAAGGCGACGAAGACGAAGTCATCATCCTCAGGCTCCATCAAGCCCCGCTGAAAGGCAAGTCATAAACACCAGGCAAAGCCAGAGAAACAGCCGAGCCCAGACAGCTGTCACCCTTCTTTGTGGCCCTCTTGGAGAGCTGCTCAGCTGGTGGCCCCTGGAGGTGACCTTCCCTCCCCACCTGACTGGCCACTGATTTGAACCTTCCCTGGGATCTCCACCCTTCCAGGGTCTGTCACGCTGTGAGGTGTGGCTGGTGAAGGAGCCCAGCGTCCAGGGGGGCTGCAGGCCCACCAACCATCAGGCAGCTGTAGGTGTGTGGCTCAGAGCGTGTGCACAAAAGTGGAAGGGGGGCTCCTTCCTCACTAGAGGAAGGCACTGGTTATGGCGCTTTCAGAGAAGCTCTTCTGGGAGTCGGCTCGGCTAGGAGAAGTGGGGAGGAAAAACCCTTCCAGGCACAGAGAAGACCAGATGGATGGCGGGTGGGGTGGGGGGACTGGAGAGGCCCCGAGGCTGACGCTGGGTGCTGAGTCAGAGGCCAGGCATGTCAGGGGAACATGCTGGAGGTGGTAGAACTGCTGCTCTCCACATGCCTTTTCTGTCCTGGTTCTCTGAGTCTTCATGAGTCTTCTTGGAGAGTTGCACTTTACAGCCCCGTCACTCACAGCAGCAGGGGATGTTGTCTGGGAGTGTGTTAGAATGAGGGCCTACTGGACCAGAACCTGCATCTTCACACACACACACACACACACACACACACACACACACACACACACACACACACATGCTCCTGGCGAAAACAGATGTGAGCAATGAAGTCTGTTTTTCCAGACACAGCTTCATGACCAGGGGGAAACTTCAAGAGTTTCCCTGCCCCTGTCAGGTGCTTGGAGAGCATGTGTGGACGGATCAGCTGGACAGCGAACGAATGGGGCCAAAGGCAAGAGTCCTACATCACTGTAACCACCCTGACCCGACCAGCTGTTAGCCATCTCATCAACACATGGGCAATTAGGCCCAAATGAACTGAAATGTACTTTGCTGGAAATGAGAATATTTATAAAATTTGGTCATACCTAGTTCTTTACGTCAGTAGGTAGGGGTGACAGAAGGGGCACTTGCCAGATGTGTTACTGCTGTAGAAGTCTCAGAAATTCACATGTGAACTTGACCGAGATAATTTGAAAAGGGCTAGATGATTGTAGGGGAAGGAAGATGGCTCTGCAGCGTTGGGTCCGAGACAGGAGGTAGCCCACTTTAGCCTCTAAAGGTTCTCCCTCCAGATTATGGAGGACCTGTTACAGTGGAAGGGGTGTCCCAGCCTTCCTAAGGAGAGAGGGAGTGGCCTGGAAACTTACATTTCTCGTAAGCTGCCAGAGATGTGGATGCAGTTGGTGCAGGAACTGTGGTCTGAGAACGAAGAGTCTAGGGCACGATCCCAGGTCCAAGTCCAGGATCGGCCCCTAACTGGCAGGTTTCTCAGCCTCTTCTAAAGCTTCCCCTCGGTTGCTCCACACAGATCAAACACCCCCTCCCTGCCCTCCATCCCGCCCCACACTTCTTGGCTGAGAAGATGAAATGAGACAACGCATGTGAAAGGCCTTTGAAAAGATAAAAATGCTATATAAACATGAGGCATAATCATTATCGATCAGGGGCTGCTTCTTGTAAGATATTGGCCTGAGCAGCGCCAGAGAGGAGGTGAGTGATGAGGCCATGGGGCCTGAGAGGTGGGGTTGGGGTGGGGGGTATGAGGATCTGGGGTCCAGAAAGGCTGAGGGTGAGATCTCTGCACGGGTGTTGGGAACACTGACCTGGACAATGTCCTGTCAGGATCCTGCCCATAGCAGATTCACTTGCTTGAATCCAGGTGGCTGGTCTCAACCCCCCGCTCCCCCGCTCTTCTGGGCTTGTAGGTCAGGGGGTTTGGAGGCGGGGGCTGGTGCCTAGAACCTGCATTTCTGGCAATGTCGATGCTCTCAGTGGGGACATCACTCTGAAGAGTACTGACCATGTATGCTAAAAAGGCCCCAGGTAGGGGCTGTGGGACCGAGGAAGGAGTTGGGTAGATGTTATAATATAACAGGTGGTTAGAAATTTGAGTCTGAGAGGACAGAATGACAGTATACAGTGGGTAGGCATTTTCCTTGGATGCAGCTGACCTGAGTTCAATTCCTGGCATCCCGTAAGGCTCTCTGAGCCTGCCAGGAGTGATTCCTGAGCACAGGGTTAGGAGTAACCCTGAGCATAACCAGATGTGACCTCCCCCCACCAAATAACATAAATCAAATAAAAGCATTGTGCATGATTTAAAATAAAAAAGAGAGAAATTTGAACCTGATACTCTTGTTGGTAATGAGGCACAGGCAGGCAGCCACATGGGGAGAGAGCATGGAGAGGCACTTCCTGCATGTGGCTGACCCCAGTTCGATTCCTGCCATCCCCCATGATCTCCTGAGCACTGTCGAGAGTGACTCCTGAGCACACAGAGCCGGGGTGTGGCACCCAAACCTTCCCGCTCCCCAAATCATTTCCGGCAGGCAAGCAAGCCTCCACTCCTGACTCAGCCGGCCTCTTCCTGCTCGGCCAAGATCCATCTGCTGACTTGCTTGAAGCCTTCGCTTCCTCCTCTGTAGAACGGGACCGGGATGGCGCTTCCTTCCTTGGCTCTTTCTGAGGATTCAGTGAGATGACGTGTGCAACCCCCTCGGCTCAGGGCCTGCCAGGGAGCTTGGTAAACAAGAATTTGCTATTGTGACGGATGGCTCCTGCAACCACTGCGGCCTCCTCGGTGATCCTCTGCCAGGCCTGCCTCTACGTCTCCTTACCACACCTGTCCGCTGCAAGCGTGCTGGCCAGACCCAGGAAAGTCGCCGCTCTCCTTGTGCAGACCCACTGACGGGGGGTGCAGGGGGTCCTTTCACTGCCCCAGGCAGGGAGAGTGCAGGGACTAAGGAAGCCACCGGGCACTTCCAGGGTGCCTGCTCTGGGTATTACAGTCCTTGCTTGCTTTTCTTTCTTTTGTCCGTTGCCTGTCACACGGTGTCTTTGTCCTGTGCTTGGTGCAAGGGTGTGCACGTGACCTTGTTCAGGAGCATCTCTTTGTGATCAGCCTTCAGGGCCCTCCCATCAGCATGGGGAACAGCCGCCGTCGGGGGCCACGTCTGGTGCCTCCCCCTCACCCCCCACTCCCCACTCCTCTGGGGTCTCGCGCACCGAGTCGCCTCCCTGTCCCCCCTCCCGCCACCAGGCAGGAGTCCAGGTGGCACGAATTCAGGTCAGGGCTAAATGTGGCTTCACAGCCCAGCTTGGCTCCTCTTCCCGGCACCAGCTTGTTAAGAAATAAATATTTATACCTGGCACCTGCCTTCTCCCAAGGCCTGGCGGCCCCTGCTGTGAATATTCACACTGAATCCCCAATCCCCACGGTGCCACCTCAATCCCCAAATGTACGCACCCCCGTGCCCCTGCCCCCTGTGAGTGCCAGGGACTCGGGGCTCGGTGGCGGCGGGCAGCAGCTGGGCCCCTGATTTAGTAATGACTGTTTATAAAGCCAAGGAGGGGGCGGCAAGGGAGCAGGTGACAGGAGGGATAAATCACCTCCACGGCATGCCTCCCGCTCGGCTGGGCCTCGAGCCCGGGCGGGGGCCCCCCAAGGGCAGATGGCTGCAGCTGCTCTGCCCCCTCTTCTCTTCCTCCCCCCCCCCCCACCCGACACACTGTGGCTTGTCACCTCTGTGCAGGGCCAGCTAGCCGGACCCGGAAGCGTGGCGGAGCTCTGGATTCCTTAAGGGACGTGCTCACTCAGGCAGCCTCGAGCCCCCTGTCACGTCTTCATTCCCTGTGATTATCCGTGGGGTGGAGAGCTCTGGCCCCACGCCTGGCACCGAGTAGGCTCTTCAGACATCCTGGCTGAGCCAATGGGTGAGGGATCCCAAAGTGGCCAGTGGCTTCCTGACCTAAGAGGTTGGGGCTGGGTGATTCCCTGTGTCCCTCCTGACTGTACCTGCTGCAGCTCTCCTGACTCACTGGACACGAGGCTGCAGGAGGCCACACGAGAGAAAGGAGGTGGGACCGGGTCATGCCCCATCCTAAGAGCACCCAGGTGGGGAGCCTTTGGCAGCTCTTGGGTACCAGGCGCCCAGGGAGGCATCAGCCAGTGCGCCCTGGGGCTCGGCCCTACAGCACCCCACCGTGTGGGCGTGTCTGCCTGCCGGCTCCCCTCCTGCCTCTCATGCCACTGCATCGCCCTCCCCCCGGGCACCCCTGAACTCACCGTCCTGTCCACGCAGGCCACAGAGCGCCCGGCAAAGAGGCTGGCCACCCCGCGGGCCACGTTGACCTCGTCGCTCAGGATATCCTCCCAGCGGTTGTTGCGGAACTTGAACAACTTATCGGTGTATGTGGCCACCCCTGGGAAAAGGAGGAGCAAAGGGACAGCTGCTAGACAGTGCCCGGGCACAGGCCTGGGGCTGGCATGTGACATAGCGGGGTGCGGCTGGGGGGTCCAGGGGTGGTCTGCGACCTGCTCAGCTGTCATACAGGCAGGTGATGGTCCACTGGGGTGTGGTGGGAGGGTGCAGGCTGGGATTCCCACTCGAGAGGAAACTCGGGCTCAGAAAAACAGTTCAGGGAGGCAAGCTCAGTCGGCTGGTGTGGGCAAAGCATGTTCGGCTCCCAGGAGGCCGGTGTGTGGTGTGTGCTGTGCTCCTCGGGACTGCATGGTTGCTCAGCAGAGGGGGGAGGGAGGGAGGGAGGGAGAGAGAGAGAGAGAGAGGAGAAATAGACGGGAGAAAGAGAGGAGAGACAAAGAGAGAGACAAAGAGAGAGAGGAGAAGAGAGAGATACAGAAATAGACAGAGAGACAGAGAGAGAGGTAAAGAGAGAGGAGAGAGAGTGGGAGAAAGGGAGAGAAGAGAGAGGAGAAATAGAGAAGAGAGAGGAGAGAGAAAGAGAGAGACAGAGAGAGAGACAGAGGAAAGAGGAGAAGAGAGGAGATAGACAGAAACAGAGACAGAGAGGAGAGAGAGAGTGAGAGAGGAGAGAGACAGAGAGAGGAGAGAGAGAGTGAGAGAGGAGAGAGAAAGAGAGAGGAGAGAGAGAAGAGAGAAAAGAGAGAGAGTAGGAGAGAGAAAGAGGAGAGAGTGAGAGAGTGTGTGTGTGAGAGGAGAGAATGAGAGACAGGGGGAGAGAGAGGAGAGAGACAGAGAGAAGACAGAGAGAGAGACAGAGAGACAGAGGCAGAGACAGACAGAGGCAGAGACAGACAGAGGCAGAGAGAGACAGAGAAAGACTGGCCAGGACCCAGAGTGATAAGACAGGGTTAAGGTGCTTGCCTTGCATGCAGCTGACCTTGTTTTGATTCTCAGCACTACATTCGGGGTTACTACCCAGCATAGAACCAGGAATAGCTCCTGAGCATTGCCTGGCCTGGCCCACTGCCTGACCCCAAGAACGAGGGAAGAAATAGTCACTGCTGCCTTGTGGGACACGAGCCGTACCTGGCTCTCCCCTTCTGCACCCTGCTCCGGTGACTGTCCAGTGGAGACTGGGTCTGAGTGCAGGACTGGGAGATGCTGAGCTCTCACACCTCCACTTGTTCCCGGGGAGCCAGTGGGGGGCCGCCCTGAGGTGGGGTGAGAGGCTCTGCAGTCCCGGAAGGTGCCCCCTCCCTGCAGCACCTGGTTCTCCTGGGGACCAAGGAGCTGTGAGCTCAACCCTCTGGGACACTGAGCCCTGTGAGAACTGGGTGAGAAAGTCCCTTTAGCAATGCCTCTGTGGCCTCCTCCAGCTCGGGCCTGGTGAGAACCGGGGGTCTTCGAGGGCAGAGCTGTGTCCTTCTCACTTCACTTCTCAGTGAGGTGAATAGGAGGCGCAGATATTCGGAACTTAGGAGGGATCGTCTTTCACCCCTGAGGACTATGTAGCAAACACAGGACAGAAGCAGTGGAGGAATCCGGGAAGACTCGGGGAGGGGGCCGTGAACCCGACTCTCTGGCTACACAGCGGGTGAGGCAACAGGTTCAGATGGAGGCAGTGGCTCGGCTTTGCAGTGGAGCACTCGGGGTTCAGAGGAAACAAATAGGTGCGAGTTTCGGTTCTACCTCGACTCAACCTCTAGGTTCCGTTGTTGATGGGCCAGGAGCTGAACGCTTGGGCTTGCTGCTGTAAATGGAGGCGGCAATAACAAGCCCAGCCAGGTGAAGGGCAGGCGAGACGATGTATCTGGAGACTTTCACAGGCACCCCACTCCCAAAGGGTGGGTTTCAGATGGAAACGGTCATAGTCCTCCCAGAGATGAGGTGCTCACTCAGGTTCTGTGGGGTAGGAACTGTGTCAAGGTGTTGATGGGGTTTAGCGTCACAACAGTGAGGAAGGGCATGAAGATGATTGCAGGAGGGTGTGTGTGAGGAAAGTGAAGAGGGTGAGTTGTGAGAGGGAGAGAGAGAGAGTGTGTGTGTGTGTGTGTGTGTGTGTGTGTGTGTGTGAGTGAGAGAGAGAGGATGTGTGAAGGAGATGTGTGTATATGTGAGGGAAGGAGAGTGTTAGGGAAGGTGTGTTAGGAAGGGTGTGTGTGTTGGAGGGTGTGTGTATGGGAGGGTGTGTGTATATGTGAGGGAAAGTGGTAGGGAGGGTGAGTTGTGAGGGAGGGTGTGTGTGTAAGGGAGGGTGTGTGGGGGAGGGTGTGTGTATGGGAGGGTATGTGTGTGAGGAAGGGTGTGTATGTGAAGGAGAGTGTGTGTATGAGGGAGGGTGTGTGAGAGAGGGTGAGTTGTGAGGGAGGATGTTTGTGTGTAAGGGTGTGTATGGGAGAGTATGTATGAGGGAGGGTGTGTGAGGGAAGGTGTGTGAGGGAGGGTGAGTTGTGAGGGAGGGTGTGTGTATGTAAGGGTGTGTGGGTGTGTATGGAAGAATGTATGTGAGGAAGGGTGTGTGTGTGAGGGAGCGTGTTTGAAGGCGAGCGTGTGAAGGAGAATGTGTGAGGGTGTGTGTGGAAGGATGAGCGTGTGAAGGGGAATGGGCCGAGAATGCATGTGAGAGGAACAGGACCAGAATGGGAGAAGGAGCCTGGATAGAGAGTGAGGGTGTGGGTGTGAGGAGTGTAGGGGGAACCGGTGTGCAAGGGTGTGTGAGAATGTCAGTGAGAACAGGGGCGTCTGTGTGAGAGTGAGCCAGGCCGCGTGAGGCCTCGGGAAGCTCTGCCCAGGAGAGGATGGAAGGCTTATCTTCCAGTGGCCCTGCTGGGGAGCCTTGGGAGATCACGGGGCGCCGCTGGGGCCACGAGCTGAGTCTGGAGCTTACCCCAGGGAGACTGCCGGGTGCTGGGAGCTGGCCTTGGGCTGAGGCATCCTGCTCTGCCTTAGGGCAGAAGCCTGACCGGGGGAGCCATGAGGAGGAGAGCAGACCCAGGTTAGTTTGGGGGAGACTGGGAATGAAGACTCACAGCTGGCTTTGTGGAAGGGAGCGCCCCTGGAAAACAAGGGGCCACTTCGGGGCAGAAGCGCAGGCCCCTGACTCCTAAGGCCTGAGCTTGTCTCCTGGTTGGATTCGGGTCAGTGTCGAGCCTCTGCCTACCTTATCTGCTTCTTGGCCTTGTTTCCTCATCTGGGGGTGGGATGGGGAGAGCCAAACCTCCCTTGCAGGGATACTAGAGGCTGACCAGGAGAAAATACACAGAACCCCTGGCCTCACCCCCAGCTCTCCCCCTCGTCCCCCCTCCAACTGGTCCACAGCTGCTCCCCCCAACTCCTGAGAACTGGATGTGTTTAGAAATTTACATTTTCCCATTCCTTAGTGATAGGAAGGTAACAGTGCACACACCATTTATTGCATGAGACCCCCAGCAGGGAGAGGGCAGCACCCCATAATTAAACACATTAATATTTCTGCAGAGAAAAATATATGAATATTCACACAAAGAGGGATAAATAAAGCCTATAAATAGTTCACATGAGCTCAGGACAGGTTTTGCCACGATGTGAATAGCAAGCACTGAGGCTTTCCAAGTGTTTTCTTTGGAGTTCAGGATACAGGGAGTGTGGTGCCAGGCTGCCATAGGCCCAGGGGTCCCCTGGGAATGCCTCTTTGCCACTGTTCCTCATGCCTGAAGGAGCGCTCCAGGCAGCGCCCTGCAGGCACCTGCATTTCCCCAGATCTCCCATCTTTTCCCCAGCAAGTGGCCCTTGGCCCGTCCCGTGAAACCAGGGCCCCTGAGGGCTGCACGTCCCTCCAGCTCAGAGCTCCTCCTGCAACCCAGGGCTGCAGGGGGGAACGCAGGCCCCATTGTCCCCACAGTGCTTCTGGGCTTGGCTAAACTCACTGTGGCAGCTGGCCAAGACCAGAAAACATGACGGGGTAGGGGGGTCTGTGCACCCCTCTATTGGCCTCACCATCTCCACTTCCTCCTGCTTGTCTGAGGTCTCAGCTCTCAAAGGGTGTCCTGGGGGAACTCTGATCCCTGTGAGCTCCAGGAGAAAAGACTGTATGCTCTTGGGTGATGGTGGGAAAATTCGAAATAACGGTGGTGGGAAGGTGTAATGGTGGTGGGATGGGTGTTGGAATATTCAATGTAATAAATTACTGTGAATAACTTTAAAAAGGAAAGAAAAGACTGTCTGATCATCTGAGTTTGGGAAAGACCCAACAGTAGTGGCTTCCTGGGAGCGTCTCAGTGGACACCAGCCTGGGAGAATTTTGAAAAGCCCCCTGCAGTGAATTGTCTGAAAACAAATGGCAATAAAATGCTTGAAGAGGGGCTGGAGCGATAGTACAGCGGGTAGGGCGTTTGCCTTGCACGTGGATGACCCGAGTTCGATTCCCAGCATCCCATATGGTCCCCCGAGCACCGCCAGGAGTAATTCCTGAGCACAGAGCCAGGAGGAACCCCTGAGCATAGCCGGTTGTGACTCAAAAAGCCAAAAAAAAAAAGCTTGAAGATTCAGTTCTTCCAGTCTCTCCCCGGTATGCTCGGCCACGGCACCCCACCGGTCTCTCCTCCTTCATCTCTGTGGACCAGCCCTGCGCTTACTCCATTGCTTGTCTAGTCAGGCTCTGGGCTCTGCGGCCAGGCAATGGAGGTGCCATGATGGCTATCCTCCTCCTCCATCCCAGCCTCCTGGCATTCTGGCTGCCCAGGGATGTCCAGAAGAATAAACTAATTAAAGTAAAATGTGCAACGGCGATGCAGCGCCTTGTAGATCATAAATGGGAACGGCAAAATCAATGGCAGCCCTTCTGCAGGCCGAGGCCCGCAGGCCTGGGCGACAGGAGGGATGGGAGCCTGTGATTTAGGAAGAGCGAATGCTCTGGCAGCTGCAACCTGGGTAATTAGGTGTGTCAGGAAGACAGATAAACAGCGAGCCGTGGGGTCGATGGCACAGGTAATAAACACTCAGCCCGGCCCGGCCAGGGTC